AGGGGGGGGGGGGAGACGGGAGAACCCCCCACCTGCCAGGGGAGAGCCAGCACTGATGGGAAGTGGGAAAGATTCAGAAAAGGCAGGAAAGGGTGAAGACATCTGAAGGGGGAAGGGAAGGGGGAGGGTTTCAGAGAAAGGCTCCCGACAGACAGCTGTGCTCCTTAGCGAATTCAAGGAACCGGGCAGTTCTCTTTTTCCTAATGGGAATGGGGTGGGGTGAGACCTGCTGGCTGAAGGCCTGCTAACTGCGTGCCCCTCCTTATCACTGGGCAGAGGTATTGCTGGACACCACTGGAGAGACATCTGAGATTGGCTGGCTCACCTACCCACCAGGTGGGGTGAGTGTCACACTTTCATTCTGAACCCAATGCCCCGCCGCCCACCCCGCTAGCGTGTTGACAAGATGCCTGTCCGCCAGAGGAGCAGGACTTCCGGGTATCCTCAGCTGCTTTGCATGTCATTAATGCTAAGTTTCACCTGGAGGGATATGCCCCCGCCTCCCTGCACCTTTCCAGCCTGGAGCAGCTAATGCCCTCTGTGGTCCTCCCTGCAGTGGGACGAAGTGAGTGTTCTGGACGACCAGCAACGCCTGACTCGGACCTTCGAGGCATGCCACGTGGCCGGGGCCCCTCCCGGCCCCGGGCAGGACAACTGGCTGCAGACACACTTTGTGGACCGGCGAGGGGCCCAGAGAGCGCACATCCGGCTGCACTTCTCCGTGCGGGCCTGCTCCAGCCTGGGCGTGGCGGGGGGCACCTGCCGGGAGACCTTCACGCTTTACTACCGCCAGGCCGAGGAGCCCGACGGCTCCGACAGCATCTCCTCCTGGCACCTCAAACGCTGGACCAAGGTGGACACGATCGCGGCGGATGAGAGTTTCCCCGCCTCCTCAGCGGGGGCGGTGGGCCCGCGCGGGGCGGGGCAGCGGGCGGGGCTACAGCTGAACGTCAAGGAGCGGAGCTTCGGGCCCTTGACCCAGCGCGGCTTCTACGTGGCCTTCCAGGACACCGGGGCCTGCCTGGCCCTCGTGGCGGTCAAGCTCTTCTCCTACGCCTGCCCCTCCGTGCTCCGCGCCTTCGCCACCTTTCCTGAGACGCAGGCCAGTGGGGCCGGGGGGGCCTCCCTGGTGGCGGCCGTGGGCACCTGTGTGGCGCACGCAGAGCCCGAGGAGGATGGAGGAGGGGGCCAGGCAGGAGGCAGCCCTCCCAGGCTGCACTGTAACGGGGAGGGCAAGTGGATGGTAGCCGTTGGGGGCTGCCGCTGCCAGCCCGGACACGAGCCTGCTCGCGGAGACAAGGCCTGCCAAGGTGAGGCCCCGCTCCTTTGCACTTGCCCCCCACCTTTGGGATCCTCTCCTGAACGAGCCCACACTTCATTTTGTCCCCAGAAGGTCAGGAATAAGTTATTTTAGGAAAGGACGCCTGTTTTCTCCAGATTTATTTCCTAAAGCGCACGGCCTTGCTCTCAGCAACTCATCTGAAACTTCTAGAACCTTTCACAGCGATTGCTGGGGATCCTAGGGCTGCAGGCCTAAGAAGGGATGGAGATGAAAGGACTTAATCTCCTAGGCTGTCTTGGAATGGGGTCCTTTGTCCGCATTTGCCATCTAGCTGGGGGTGGTTCACCCCGGGGCCAGGTGACCAGGAGGCAGGTAGAAGGCCGTGGATACAGCTGTAAAGAATGATCCTGCGGCAGAGGGAGGATATGCAGTCGAGCCAGGCGGCTACATCTGGTGCTTGCTCTGCTGTAGCCCCTACCACACCTCACTTTTTCCGTCAATGGAAATGTAATTCTGTGCCAGCAAAATGGCAGAAGTAATGTCTGGCTGAGGGAGGGAGAGAGGGGAGAGAGGGGTGACGAGGAGATAGATCTCAGAAGGCTGGGAGGATGGCTGTGTGCAGGTGTGGGGGGCTCAGGAGGGGATGGACAGGGGGGGCCTGAGGCCTCTACCCTCCTCTGCCCCTCAGCCTGCCCCAGGGGGTCCTACAAGGCCTCGGCTGGGAATTCCCCCTGCTCACCGTGCCCTGCCCGCAGCCTCGCCCCTGACCCTGCGGCCCCTGCGTGCCCCTGCCTGGAGGGCTTCTACCGGGCCAGCTCCGACCCCCCAGAGGCCCCCTGCACTGGTGAGTTCCCCCCGCAACCCCGGCCCCAGGGACGGGCGTGGGACGGGAGTGGGACCAGGAGAGGGAGAGCCTGGAGGGCAACACGGGGCAGCTGGTTGAGCCTGGAGGGCAACACGGGGCAGCTGGTTTGCATTTGCAGTGACTTCTTTCTCCTGTGTCCTTGCTTTTCTTCCCCGCCTCCTTCCCCCACCTGACCCACCTCCTTCCTCTCTCGCCCCGCCTGCCTTCTCCGCTTTCCCCTGCTTTCTGTCTTCTCCCTCCGGGCCGCCCTCCCTCCCCTGCCCTCCCCTGCCCTTCCCCAATCACCCCCGCCCTCGACTCCCGTCTTCGGGGCCCTTCCCTGCCCACACCCTCCCCAGCGACCCCGTCGGCCCCTCAGGAGCTGTGGTTTGAGGTGCAGGGCTCTGCGCTCATGCTGCACTGGCGCCTGCCTCAGGAGCTGGGGGGACGCGGGGACCTGCTCTTCAATGTCGTGTGCAAGGAGTGTGGAGCGGGCGGCAAGGGCGCTTGTCGCCGCTGCCCGGATGAGGTGCATTTCGACCCCCGCCAGAGGGGCCTGACTGAGAGCCGCGTGCTCGTTGGGGGGCTCCGGGCACACGTGCCCTACATCTTGGAGGTGCAGGCCGTCAATGGGGTGTCGGAGCTCAGCCCCGACCCTCCCCAGGCTGCAGCCATCAATGTCAGCACCAGCCACGCAGGTGAGCCTTGCCTTCCCCTAAGCTGCCAGTCACCTCCTTAGAACCCTCTCCCGCTCTCCCGCCCCTGGAGGCCTCCGCTAACCCCCCACTCCAGTTCCCTCCGCAGTCCCTGCTGTGCACCAGGTGAGCCGGGCCTCCAGCAGCATCACCGTGTCCTGGCCACAGCCCGACCAGACCAACGGGAATATCCTGGACTATCAGCTCCGCTACTATGACCAGGTGGGGAGCAGAGGGGCGCCCGGCGGGGATGGTGAGAGCCGGAAGTGCTCCGCAGCGGGGCTGGAGGTGGGGAGACAGGGGAGGCGCCTCGGAGCCCTTCCGCAGGGGCTGTGAGGGGTGTGGGCAGGAGCAGGGGGCGAGGGGCCCCCACAGCTGGCAGGGAGTGAGCGGCTGTCACCCCCAGGCAGAAGATGAATCCCACTCCTTCACCCTGACCAGCGAGACCAACACGGCCACCGTGACCCAGCTGAGCCCCGGCCACATCTATGGCTTCCAGGTGCGGGCACGGACGGCCGCAGGCCACGGCCCATACGGGGGCAAGGTCTACTTCCAGACGCTGCCTCAAGGTGAGAGGAGGCCTGGACGGGGCGGGGGCGGCCCAAGGCATCGTGAGGAGGGGTCCAGGAACCATCCAGGCCTTGAACCTTCACCCCAAATCCTCCAGGCCGGGAGAGTGGCTGCCCACCAACCTTCGGGGCTGTGGGGAGACGGGGTGTGGGGAAGTGGGTGCTTGCGGGGCGGTGTGTGAGATCTTCCACACCTGTGACTCTGGGTGGCTGGTTCTCCAGGTGAGCTGTCCGCCCAGCTTCCCGAGAGACTCTCCTTGGTGGTTGGGTCCATCCTGGGGGCGCTGGCCTTCCTTCTGTTGGCGGCCATCACCGTGCTGGCTCTCGTCTTCCAGAGGTGAGTCTCTCCCCGCCATGCCCCAGCACCATACTCTCCAAAGCTCGGTCCCAAGCCCTGATGGCCCCGAGGTTCCCTGCAGAAGTGCCCACGAGTGTCCTCCGCCACCACCCAGCCCCCGCCCGCCCTTGGGCCCGGCTCCTTCGAGCCACTGATCCCTGGCAGGACCTTGGCCTTCGTGGGCAGACTGGGGAGGAAATGGGAGAGGGAGTGTGATCGCAGGACTCTGGTTTGTCCCCCAGGAAGCGGCGTGGAACTGGCTACATGGAGCAGCTGCAGCAGTACAGCAGCCCAGGTGTGGGTGTGGCTGGGATGGGATGGGGGCCGGGAGGGCACCAGGCAAGGCTGGGCCCCCCGGGATTGAGGGCAGCTCCTGGGCACCGTCTTCGGCAGTGAGACGCCTACACACCTCCTTATAATGGACCCCGTGTCTGCAGGGCTCGGGGTAAAGTACTATGTCGACCCCTCCACCTACGAGGACCCCGGCCGGGCCGTCCGAGAATTCGCCCGGGAGGTCGATCCCACATACATGAAGATCGAGGAGGTCATCGGAGCAGGTATGGCAGAGGCAGAGGGAGGGCACGGAAGGGGTCCCAGCAGGGTCCCTCCTAAACAGGGCAGGACACTGAGTCCTTCCTGGAGAACCCCTCCCCCCCCCGCCTATGCCTGCTCTCCTAGGCTCCTTCGGGGAGGTGCGCCGGGGCCGCCTGCAGCCCCGGGGACGGCGGGAGCAGGCCGTGGCCATCCAGGCCCTGTGGAGCGGAGGCGCCGAGAGCCTGCAGACGGCCTTTCTAGGCCAGGCCGCAGTGCTGGGCCAGTTTCAGCACCCCAACATCCTGCGGCTGGAGGGCGTGGTCACCAAGAGCCGGCCCCTCATGGTGGTGACGGAGCTCATGGAGCTGGGCCCCCTGGACAGCTTCCTGAGGGTCAGTCAGGCTGGTGGCAAGGTGTGGGGGGCGGCTCGGGCCGGGAAGGTGGGCAGTTCTCACCTGTCCCGGAGGCAGAGCCCTGTCTATCTATGCCTTTGCTCCCTGCTGCCCCACCTCCAGGGTCTCCGTCCTTCATTCCCAGGCCGTTCGCTGATCCCCAGGTCCCTTTGCCTTTTGGTGCCAGTGTCTCTGCGTGATGTGCCACGGTCCCCCACCCCTTGGCTGACCTCTGCCCCCCATCCCTCAGCAGCGCGAGGGCCAGTTCAGCAGCCTGCAGCTGGTGGCCATGCAGCGGGGCGTGGCCGCCGCCATGCACTACCTGTCCAGCTTCGCCTTCGTCCACCGTGCACTCTCTGCCCACAGTGTGCTGGTGAACAGCCATCTAGTGTGCAAAGTGGCTCGTCTTGGCCACAGTCCTCAGGTGAGAGCACAGCCTTGGGGCCCCGCATCCCTCAGGGGGTGCCGGAGGCTGAGCTAGAGCTGGGGCGGTGGATGCCTCAGGTGGTGTATCTTAGTGTCTGAAGGGGCAGAGCTCACCTGTGGGATGGGGGGATTTCAGGGACTGAGGACACTGGGGAAGCAAGGGGATGGGGAGGGTGGGAGTCCTAGAACCACCTCCTGCCCTTCCCTAATGCTGACTAGCGTCAGAGCCGCTGGGTACAAGTCGTGAACACGCCACCCTCAAGCTCTGTGACTTTGCACAAGTTTGTACTTCTCGATGCCTCAGCCTTTGCATCTGCAAAATGGAGAGAACGGCATCTGCGCTACAGGGTCGTTAACGGGATTAAATGAGAGGCTTGATGTGAAACGACGCACATCTGAGCACGTAGTAGTTGATCAATAACTAGGACCTGCTCTGCTTATTGCTGTTGTTACTTTCAACCCCACCCCTCAGGGCCCAAGTTGTATGCTTCGCTGGGCAGCCCCAGAGGTCATTGCACACGGGAAACATACAACATCCAGTGACGTCTGGAGCTTTGGGATAGTGATGTGGGAAGTGATGAGTTACGGAGAACGGCCCTACTGGGACATGTGTGACCAGGAGGTGAGCTCTTGACCTAGACACTGCCGATTCCCCACCACTATCCCTCCAGCCCACCAGCCTTCACAGACTCACACGTTCGAAGCCCTCCGTTCGTGGCTCTCATTTTCCATATCTTTTAAGTTCCTTCCCAACCTCACGGTAACCTGACAATACATTTCTTTCCACTAGCAATAGCCTGCAAGCACCATGTGCTTTCTCTGACCCCCCAGGTACTAAATGCAATAGAGCAGGAGTTCCGGCTGCCCCCGCCTCCAGGCTGTCCGCCTGGACTACACCTGCTTATGCTGGACACTTGGCAGAAGGATCGTACCCAGCGACCTCACTTTGACCAGCTGGTGGCTGCGTTTGACAGGATGATCCGCAAGCCAGACACTCTGCAGGGAGCAGAGTACTCCGGCGGCGGGAGCCCCAGGGACAGGTCTGGAGCTTGGGGCTAAAGCCTGGGAAAGCCAGGGAGGGATGGGGCAAACCAAAAAGAAAACTGGGGCTTCCCTGGTGGCGCAGTGCTTGAGAGTCCGCCTGCCGATGCAGGAGACGCGGGTTCGTGCCCCGTTTCGGGAAGATCCCACATGCCGCGGAGCGGCTGGGCCCGTGAGCCATGGCCGCTGAGCCTGCGCGTCCGGAGCCTGTGCTCCGCAAATGGGAGAGGCCACGACAGTGAGAGGCCCGCATAACGCAAGGAAAAAAAAAAAAATGCTTTGGAGATCCCATTTCCCACTAAAATGAACCAAAATTCCAAAGAGAAATGGCTGATTCCAAGTGTGGTGTAGGAAACGTAACAAGATGACCTTGTACTGTCTTTGTCATACAGAAAGCAAACATTAGCTATCAAAGACCTCTAGGCTTATATCAAAAAGACCCAGGAGATAACTTAAATAGACTCATACTGGCCAAAGGTGAAACATATCATTAAGGATTACAACTGCAAATATGTTGAAATCCATGATTTTATAATAATTCAAAAACAAAACACTGCATTAGCCACCTTTAGAAGATGCTTAGTAATCAACTCATTATTTTGAAAACTGGTAAATTAAGGAATCAAGCATTTATCCTTCCTTTTCCTATATAGATGGAACTTCAAGACAACCAGCTAGTTGATAAGGAGAAGTTTTTCTTTGTAGAAGTATTCCAGTTGATGAATGAAGAAGAATGATAGAATTTATATATCATTGTTTTACAACTTGAATGAATTACTAGATCTAGGCAGTGATCTTCAGTGGTTACTAATATCACAAAAAGAAAAATACAGTTCCTGAGGGAGGTGCACACTACTACCTGTGAAGTGGTCTTATAAAAAAATTGAACCTGAATGTGATTAAACCTCTAAATCAAACTACCATCTCAGGATATACAGGGGAGAAATTGCAAGGGGAAAAAAAAGTGAGATGTAAAGAGATTTTACGTATTAAAAGATACTTAAGGGACATATTACCCAATTGCAATGTGCGGACATTCTTGGAGCCTAATTAGAACAAATAAAAACTTTTTGAGTCAGGGAAATTTTATTATGGAGTGGATATTTGCTATTAAAGAATTATTAAAATTTTAGGCATGATATTGGTTTTGTGGGTTTTTAAAAAAAATAATCATTTTTAAAAAGAGGTACTATAGAAATATTTATCAGACCTTCCCAGGCCCTTCTGAACCCCGTGGCCCTGGACTTTCCCTCTCTGGACTCCCCCCAGGCCTGGCTCTCGGCCATCGGCCTGGAGTGCTACCAGGACAGCTTCTCCCAGTCTGGCCTCCACACCTTCAGAGACGTGGCTCAGCTCAGCCTGGAGTAAGCAGGGAGAGGTGGGGGAGGGGAGCCCAGGCCCCAGGGCAGGGGTCGCGCCTGGGATCTTGGAGACACTGGCCCCGGTTTAATCCACTCCTTCCCCACCAGAGACCTGCCAACCCTGGGCATCACCCTGGCCGGCCACCAGAAGAAGCTGCTACACCACATCCAGCTCCTGAAGCAGCACCTGAGGCCGCCGGGCTCCGTGGAGGTCTGAGCCCCGGGCAGAGAGCTGTGAACTGACAGTGCCCGTGACCCGGTCCTGGACGCAGGTCCAAGGAGGCCGTGGGAGATGTGAGCCCGTCTCCACCTTGGCCACCGTGAGAAGCGCCCGCCCGCCACGCTAAACCCGAGCCTGGGGACGCCTCACTCCCTGGTCCTCTGCCCCTCCACCGCCCTCCCCCACATTAAAGGGAAAGAAGGGATTTTGCAAGTTGGAGGTGTGGTGAGGCCTCGTTCTGCAGGGAAGGGGTGGGAAGGCCTTGGAGCAGAGAGCCAGGGCCGGGAAGACCACACTGCAGCGAAGGGTGCACAAGGACAGCAGGAAGGACTTTATTGGAAGGTAGGAGGTGGCTTCCCCCCAAGGTGGTCCCCATCCCCTCATTACACCTTTCCCCAGCCTCCTCTGCTGTCTGCAGCTGTGACACCGGGGTGGAGACCGGTGCCCGCGAGGCAGCAAGCCTTTCTTAAAGTGCTTGGCTCAGACAGTGCAGCCGCCAGGGCGGGTGAAGCTGGGTCCTTATTCGCGCTGCGTGAAGCTGGGTCCTTATTCGCGCTGGGCCCTGTGCTTACCGTGAGGCGTGGGCCTGCTCCTTGGTTTCCCTTTATCGTGTTCTACCCTCTGGACCTGGCAGATGAGAGGTCTAGGCTTTGCTTCTTGATGCTGCCGGGAGCCAGTGTGGGCGGAGGCACTCAGATCTGGTACTCCCAACCCTGCCCGTCCTCCAGAGCCCTGGTCACCGTCCCCCTCTGCTCTCTCCTCCGGGTCGCTTCCCGCAGCCTCTCCCAGTTCGTGCTGCTGCGGGAAGTACTTCGAGACACCGAGGGGGCAGGAGGGGACGGGTGGGGGCCGAAGGGGCCGCCCAGCCCCCGTCCTTCCACGTCATCTTCGGAGCCTGGGTTGCAGAAGGCCTGCGCGCAGCGCCGGACGCGCTGCCGGTTGAGATCCTGTCTGTCTTCCACCCTGGGGGGAAGGGGGAGTTGATGGAGAGGCTCACCTTGGACCAGCCCTTGTCTCCTGGCCCCGCCCAACCCTACTGCTGGTGCCCTTTTCCCTTGTCTGCAGCCCGAGTGGGCACAGGGGTTGCCAGGCCTCGGGAAGCAGCAGAGTCGAGTCCAGCAGCTCTGGGGATGCTTTCAGGGCCCAGGAACCTAGCAGGCCCCCTTCTCCCAGCGAGGCCTGAAGCCTAGAGGGCACACAGGCCTGCACAGGGCCCCTGGGGGCAGGAGGTTGAGCAGAGGGACGCCAGCTGCCGCTGTCACTCACCGCAGGAACCAACGGTCCCCCAGCCCGAACTTGCGCCCGCAGATCCCGGAGCGAGGCCACAGGCAGCGAGGCAGCTTCTTTTCCAGCATCACTGTGGTGGCCACGACCTGCGTGTGGGGACAGAAGACGATGAAATCAGAGGCTGGGTGCGGACCAGGAGGGGAGAGGACGCCAGGCAGAGGGACAACAGTTGAGCAACATCTGGGAAACTCATGGTTTCCCAGAGGTGACAACACCCCTGAGGTGGGGATGGCAGCGTCAGCTTTGTCAGCCCTCTTCTGCGGGAGAGAGTGGATGGGCCTTGAGCCCTACAGCACTTGACCCGTGACCTGACATCCAGGCCAGGCTGATCCTGCAGCAGGTGGGGACACCTTGCTCCAAGGAGACAGGAAGGAGGGCAGAGCAAAGAGAAGGGGTCCACAGGGCTACAGAATATTCTGACCCTACAGATGTAAAGGCCACTTAGAAACACAAACATCCTGCAGAGAAATCTCATGTCAATACATTGGCATGGAAAAAAACATTTTCATCAGCAAACCCTGTTTAGCCAGCGTAGGGTTTTTTTTTTTAACTCCATTTTCTACACGACACAGTTAGGTGCCATCCAGTTTGAGGGATTTCCATTCACTTTGCTGAAATTATTTCTGTTGAGATAAATTATTTTGTATTTTTAAATGATGATTTGATCCAATTCGTTCTTTTGTCCCCATCACAATTATCTGACTGAAGATAGTTTCTGCCATATAGGGAGTTTGTGTGGCATTACTTTTAACAGGTCCAATTTTTCTGGGTCAGATTTTGAAGACTTAACTATTGCCAGAAAGATGTGATACTCCAGCTTTTTTATTCAGTAACAAAATTTACTGAATGCTGTTGTAGCCACTACTAAGCGTCATTTCTTGTTGATGATTCTCGAAAAGACAGATTAGACTTTTTTGAGAAAACTGTGAGGAATTCTTTTCAGCTATTCCAGTATTGCTCAGTCGTATTGCTAATCCAGTTCTGTACACTTTGCATAATCTTCTGTACTGTGCGCTAACCGTCCAAACCTATGTTGGGGGTCAGAATATCCGGCCTCTCTGAGTTTGGCCCCGTCCTTGGCAGGAAGGGAATGACTTGCACTAACCCTCCCAGCCACCAGGGGGCGCTCACCTGGGCCCTCCAGAGCTCGTCCCGCTCGTGGGCCACGCGCCAGTGAGTGTCACCCATCATAGCGATGAGGAGGTTGAGCATGAGAAGAGCGGCAATGATGGCGAAGGCAGCATAGGTGACGCCGTACATGAAGGGCAGGTCCACGGCGTAGTTGGCAGGGCCGTCGATGATGGTGAGGAACAGCTCGAAGGTGCTGAACAGCGCCATGGGGTAACTGTAGAAATGGCCCAGCTCGTTAGGGTCCTCTGTCTGGAAGATGATAAAGAAGGCTGCTCCGCCCCAGGGGGTGAGAGTTACATGTGAATAAACCGCAGCCAGCTCTTTGCTGCCCATTTCAGCGCTGCTTTGCCTTCCTCTCCACCACCACCATCCCAGCCCCGCCTCACTCTGCACTTGGGGTGCTTTCATTCCCTTGGTTTCCATATGGCTCACCCTCCTGATCCCAAGAGCCACCGCCCCCTAACACTCCCCAGGGACAGCCCATCCTTACATCCTACTGCCTCCTCTTACCTCTGCCTGCCTTCCCACCTCCGCCCCCACCCCCCCACCCCCGCCAAGTTTACCGAGAGGTATTCTGTGCTATCTAGTTTCCTCCAGCCCAGGGCCCCCATCTGAGGCGATGTACCTGAGGCAAAGCCCAGGATGACCACAGCCATCAGCCAGCAGAATCTCATCAGATCGCCAAAAATCATCTAGACAGAGGGGAGGGGAGGGAGGACAGCTGCACATCAATCCCTTGAGCAAATGCCCCTTCCAGCCTCTAAGAGGTCTAACCCTGAGACGTCTCACAGCTCCACCCCTCTCCCGTGGGGTTGGCAAACTGGCCTGCTGGCCAAATCTACCTGGTCAGTTTCGGTTGGCCCTTGAACAAGAATTTTACGTGTTTAAAGGACTGAGAAAAATTTAAAAGGAGGAAGAGAAAGAAGGAGAAGAAAATCAAACCGACCATATGTGGCTCTCCGAGCCTGGGACCTCTGTTAGGTGACCCTTCGCAGAAGTGTTTGCAGCCCCTGCTCTAGGACCTTTCTCTAGGAAGCTCGGGGGGCGGCACGGACCTTCTGAATCATGACGGTGAAGGGGCCCAGCATCTGGAATCCTCTGGCAAAGTACATGACGTTGCACCAGCCCAGCACCAGGGCGAAAGACATGGGCACCACCTCCCCGTTGGTGTTGGTGAGCCTCATCACCATGGTCACCAGCACCATGCAGGCGTAGGTGATGCTGGGGGGGAGAGCAGGGAGGGGGTGATGAGAGGGAGACTGGGATGATCCTGGGGGTCCAAGAGCAAGGGGGTGATGGAAATGGTGCCCACACACTCAGGTTCAATCTCTGTAAGCTCGATACACAGGGTCTCACACACACATCAGAGAGGGGCCTCTGGAACGGGCGTTCTCCAGAGGTCAGGGATCCGGGGAGTACAACTCGAGCCTTGGTGAGGAAAGGGATGGGGGTGAGGGGAAGGAGGCTCACAAGAGCACGTGGAACGGTCCTCCAAGGATGGTCTGTCCAAAGAAGCGAGTGACCCCCACGCGGAAGATGTCTGGAATCTGGAGAGAGGCCAGGAAGACACAAAGGCCCTTGGAGACTGAGGCTGGGGCTGGATCCCCGCGGCAGACAGCCTCACCCCCAGATCCCGACCACACCACACCTCTATGAGCAGAATGATGACAGCTCCGAAGACGGACACCAGCTCCCCAACCAGTCGGAGGTGATCCTCGGGGGTCACATAGGCCTCCTGAGGGGAGAGACGTGGTCAGAGGACTCGGGGCTTCCCGGCCTGCTCCTGGGTACAAGTCAGCGTCCCTTGTCTAGGGTGACAAACCAGTCTCAGATTCTTTGTAACCTGTTAAGGTTGGCGCTCTCAAACTCTGCTCTTAGAGCATCGGTAATGTTTCTGTGTGCACGTAGTTTGAATTTGTGCCTGTGTATTTGAGACTTAAGCGAGGGAGAAACGTGGGTGATAAGACGGGAACGTGATTCACGGGGAAGCGAGGGCAGAGAGCTGGGTCCCGCCCGAAGCTCTGCTGCTCCCAGGGTGTCACCTGCAGTAGCTTCTGCTGTAGGAGGGTGTTGTCCCGGGGGCCAGTTTGGTTGTGGGTCCTGGGATTGAGGGGGCGATAGACACAGCACGTGGTAAAGCAGGCCAGGTACAGCAGGTATGTGGCAGCCAGCATACAGAAGTACGGCCACCCATATCTCTTCCACTTGACGTTCACCAGCTCCTTCACTGGCGTCTGGTCCAGGATCTGGCGAGCCTGCAGCAGAGCAAGAGGACAGCAAGCAGCGTGGAGAGCCTGACTCCCCTCCCCCGCTGCTCCCTACCCTGAAGACCACACCCCCTCCTCCCCCTTCCCTGTACCCCGCACCTCCCGCTTCTTGGAGGTGACGATAAGCTCCAGCAGGGACTGCTCCTCCCCTGAGGAGTCGATCTCCGTGAGGTCGTAGAGAGTGGAGGTCAGCGGCCCGCACGTCCACTGGATGTGCTTCCGCTTCTGCATCAGGTGCTGGAACATCTAAGGTTGGGGGTGCAGGAGCAAGCAAAGGGGACTGTCCCAGGGTGTGGCTGGGAAGCCTGCCCAGAGCACAGCACCCCTGAAAGGGGTGCTCGCCGTTTACTCAAAGACCACAGCCTTGCGGGCAAAAGACCCCCATCTTCATGCCAGCCTCCAAGTTCATCCTCTTTCCCCTGTAACTCCCTCTAGAGCTCGGAAACAAGAGGTGAGAGGATGCAGGGCGGCTGCTTGTGGGCTGAAAGGACAAGAGGACGTGGGCATTTCAGACACTCCAGGGCGGGATCTAGACCCCGTAAGTCCCCAACAACTCAGGGGAGAGAAAGTGGGCAAGAAAGAGAGACAGGGGCTGCGGAGGAAATTCCAACTGAAGCTGAAAACGGGACCTCAGCATCGGGGATAACTGGTGACATCTATTTCCTCAAAGGGCCAGAAACGGAAGATGAACGTCATGAGAAGGACACGGGGGGACTGGGGGCGGGTCCCTCACCGTGGTGTTGCCCTCCACTCCAGCCAGCTTGAAGGGGGTGAGGCCCTGGTGATTGGGCACGAGGTCCAGGGACTGCAGGTGGTCCCCGCGCCCGTCGTAGGACAGCAGCAGGTTGTACATCTGGCAGGCAAAGGTTTTGCTGGGCTGGAGGACGAGGATGTGCAACACTGTGTTTCCTGGGGGAGGACACGGGCTGTCACGTGGCCACTGGGACTAGAGTCCCTGATGCTCCCCATGCCCCCGCCCCCTGACCCGGGTGGACCTGAGGGCTGTCCCGGCCCCTCCTCTGCAACCCAGCTCCCCCTCCAGCCCGGCTCTCACCCAGGGAGTCCTGGGCCCGGATGTCAGCGCCGTGCTCAATGAGCAGCCTCACGGTCTCCTCGCTGCCCATGCAGGCCGCAAAGGACAAAGGGTGCTCCCCTGGGGGTGCAGAGGGCCCCGTGGCTTGAGGGTGCAGGCTGGGATGGGCAGTCTCTCCAGGGGACTGCCTCTCCCTCCCCACATCTCAGCTCTGGGCCTGGGGACGCTTGTCAGCAGAACCAGAGGCGGGGACGGTGCAGAGGGGGGGCCCTGCGTCGGGGGTTGGTTCTGGCCTTCAGCCTTAGGAGGGCGGACCCCTCCCAGCTTGCCCCGGAGTGGAGCCCCCTCAGCCTGCCCTCCCTTTGCTCTTGGCCCCGTCCCCACCCCCCCAGCCCTGGCCCTGGCTCTCACCAAAGTAGACGAGGTTGTGGGGACTGAGGCAGAACGCTGAGCCTACCGCCCTTGCAGAGACACTGGCCCCGTGGGCGAGCAGGGCTTTCACCAAGTTCACGTTCTGGTTCATGATGGCCATGTGCAGTGCCGTCTGACCTGGACAAGAGAGCTCTTGTCATGGGGTCTGTCTCCAGGATCCTGCAGGGGTCCCTCCCATATCTCCACAGGGTCCTCTTCACCAGGGCAGCCTTTCGCGGGGAGGATGGGGTGGGGGTTTGCTGAGCCTGGCAGGGTTCCCAGGGGGTCCAGCTGCTGCCTGCCTCTTCCCACTCTAGGCCTTCCCATTTCAGGGGGTGGTGCTTGAATGAGCTGCACTGAGGATGCTGAGGAAGAAGGGACATGAAGAGGGGGGTAAAGAGGAGGGGGGCTCACGTTCCCTCTTGTTTTCCCCAAATTATCCACCACCAGGACTGCCCTGAAACAGTGAGCTGGTCGCTCCTCCCTCCAACCTGAGCCCCTTGGCCTCTCACCTTCATACAGCTCAGAGGTAATGGGCTCGTCGACCAGCTCCGGGGCGGCCTCCATCAGCACGATGGCGGCCTCCAGGTGGTCATAGAGGGCCGCCACGTGCAGTGCCGTCTCCCCCAGGGCTCCTGACGTTGACAGAAAGAGTCGCATGGCTTTGCTGGAGCAGGGGAATGGGGACTGGAGAGATTTGGGGGCCCACGGTAGAAGGTCCCGGGGCTGTACTGGCAGGAGGCTGGTGGAGGGCGAGCGCGTGCACAGGGCTGACCCGGGGCGGGGGGAGGCTCCGTACCTTTCTGGTGGACATCGCAGGCTTCATATTTGAGCAGCTTGCTGAGAGCCTGGATATCGTTCTCTTTGGCAGCTGTGAGGAGAGGAGACTCCCAGATCCTACGAGGGAGGGGGGCAGGTCCGCTTGTGGAGCCAGGTCTGGCATACCCCTCAGTGGCAACGAATTCCAAGGGTCCTCATCCAGAGAGGTGGGGCCGTTGGGGTGGGGGCGGAAAGCGCTGCCTGATCTCTCTTTCTCTGACCCGTTAGTTAACCCAAAGCAACTTTTTCCCCCTTTAGCTTGCGTGGGAGAATGTCAGGAACTGCTTTCCTTTCCCCTGGGTGCTGTGACCAGGGTGTGTGCGTGTGTGCGTGTGCGTGTGCGTGTGTGTGTGTGTGTGTGTGTGTGTGTGTGTGTGATCTGTGCACCTAGTGTATAGAGGGAGAAGTTTCAGTTAAAATACTCATTCACCTCCTGACCTATTGACCTCTGGAGGAACCCTATTTTAGCTTCACTCAAAGCCTTGAGATTACTCTCCAAGATAAGCCTTGTTTTCATGGACTAAGGGTACAAGGAATTCCTTCCTCATATTTGCGGAGAAGGCTGACACGTAGACGCTGGCGGATTTTCCTCCTGTTGCGTGATGCTCGCCTTTTTTTTTTTTTTTTTTTTTTATTTGGCTGAGCCAGGTCTTTAGTTGCAGCATGTAGGATCTAGTTCCCTGACCAGGGACCAAACCTGGACCCCCTGCATTGGGAGTGCAGAGTCTTAACCACTGGACCACCAGGGAAGGCCCGCACGAACCCGCGTCCCCTGCATCGGCAGGCGGACTCTCAACCACTGGATGCTCGCCTTTTTAGACCTCGGCAAAGCCCTTTGATTCTGGCACTTTCCTTCCTACAACAGCATATCTGGGGGTCGATCGAAAAGCAGCCGTGGGTCCTTTTTTCCCTTCTGGCCTCTACATCACATTACAGTCTCTCGCTCCTTCCTATCTGCTTCTCACTTGTTTTAGGCAAAGAATCATCTTCTTTGACTTTCCAGGCTTACACCTACAACGAACTAAAAAACCTTTTGTAATATCAAAACTTAGCCCAACTAAGACACACGGGGTCCCTTTTATTTAATTTTCTCTCCTGGCCCAGAACCACTTGGTCTTTCTACGGGAGTGAATGAAATAACGCTATTTATCCATAGATGGCCAGTTATGTGAACAGGAGCTCATACACCGAAGAACCCATAGTCGCAGGAAATCGACTCCACGAGCTGGGGGTGAGTGGGTGCTCAGGAGAGGAGGAAAGATCACGACACGTCCATCTCCCTGCATGCTGGCCCCAGCTCCCCGCATCAGGCCACGCAGGCAGCCACCTGCCAGTTCAACATCCCTCTCCGTTCAGTCCCTGCCTTCTCATTCCTCCTGATGCTCATTAATGCACGTCCTCATTCTCTAGGCCAGGATTAACAAAACATTCTCTTGCCCTACTCCCCTGTTTACCCCAATCCGTTCTTCTGGATGCCGCCGAGATACTCTCTCTAAACGGCAAATGCAAGCACAGTTCACAAAAGTCTGATGGGCCCTTAAACACCCAGGAGAAGAAACTCAGAAACCCTGTACAGCCTCTGTGCAACTCCTTTTCCGTGCTCTCTTCCTCTCATTGGCCTCCACCCAGCATTTCAGCCTCATCACCCCAGGGCACACCATCCTCCCCACTCCTGGGCTACAACTCAACTCTCCTTCCACCTGGACTCTAATCCCCCACCCCGCCCTAATCACTCTGTTCTGTGCTCGCGATGCCTGGGAATATGCCCAGCGTATGGCAGACACTCATTGCCACTATCTGTAGAAGGAGTGAATTGTAGCAATGCCAGAAGGTGGTTTGGCTTTACTGTCCTTCCTTATTATCTCCATCAGGCCACCCCCTAAGCCAACCTTAGGCAAACGTATAATCTAAGTAAAAAATAGTATGCTTGGTATGCGCACACAGCTGCAAAACAAGTTTGTTACACCTTCCACCCCCCCCC